ATTTTTATTTTCAGGACCCCAGTCTGTTGTCGTTGGACAGAATGTAACATATTTATCTTTAAAATTTAATCCATTTAAAAGCTTAAAATTACGCCATTTAAAAGCAGTGCGTTGCCCTTGCCTGAAGTAAAATACTTTTATCTTCTCCCGCGCTCCAGTGTGTTGCCATTTGGCGAACAGTAAAATATTTAACTTTCAAATTTATTCTGTTTGTTATCGATTAACAAACTAAGCAATGAGCGCAGTTTCCAACAATGTTTTTTAATTTTTTTATCTGATTGATATAAATAAAAATGCATTTAACTCATGATATATCTAATTAAAAGCATTAACTTTTTTATGAAATTGCATTAGCTAGACTCATTAAAATTCATTACACACACACACACACACATATATATATATATCTGTCATAATTTAATGGGTAGAAGAAAACACTGGAACTTTTAACAGGTTTCTATATTCGTCATGGCTGAGACGGCAGTGGTGGCTGAAGGTAAAAGCTATGATGACGCAGTTAACACACTTGAGCTTGAAGAATTTTCAATCTTTATTTTCACGCATATAAAACCATCTTAGCAGATCTTTATCCAATCGTAATAAAATGCGATAAGTTTTATGTACATTGGTTTTAAAAGTACGACGTTGTTACGTAGAAAAAAAAATAATATTTTTCATTTAACTTTTATCTCTTTACAAACTGACTGCTTGGTGCCGCGACAAAAAAAAAAAAAAAAAAAACTAACTACTAAAACTTAGTACATACAATAATCAAAACTTTTAAACACTAAAAGACATCAAATATATCCTCACCTGGTGTTTAAGTAGAATCACGATTAATTGACAAAAACAAAATTCGAAAATGCACTTCCACAACAAAATCTTTAACACGCTATCTCTCACTAAATTAAAACTAATTTATATCTCCAACCTGTAAACACATAAATTTCAATACAAAATCTAGAGATAGCCTTAAACCTTTAACATTTCAAATACCACACATATCTCTTCAAACATCTCTTCAACAACCCATGAGGTGTTGCCCCGGATAGTTGCGGACCTGGACTAGACCCGAATAGTCTTAGTAAGCCGCACGGGTGTCCAGATTCTGCTCTCAACTCAACTCCTTTTCCGTGCAACAGCTTAAGAAACCTCGGTTTACACTCTGCAAGAAACGCCTCAAAATTACTATTGGTTCAAACAACACTAAAATTAAAAATTTAGCCAATCTTAAGGAAACTTGGACTCCCTTTCGCCAATTAAAAGAAAGATAATAAATAGCCACTGAAATTCTCAGAAATTCAGACTTTCTACAAGAAGACAGACCCTTTCTTTCCCACGCAACAAAGAATGTTTCCAACCTATAACTCTGTCAAAAAAAATCGCCGCCCCTTGAACTATTCGCCTCTGAACGAGAAAACACATGTTTTCAACCCCCCGCAAAAAGGGAAAATGCAGCTGGACAGTGACCTCTAACCTCCAAAGAAGCCTACGCGTGAGAAACGGAAATACAACCGCGCCCTTTTAACTGTAACACATATTCTTCCAAACTTAAGGGAGCTTTGCTGTAATGTTTAACAATATTAAATATTATACATTAATTTTAAAATAAGCACAATACAAATTCACAGTAAAATAATACGCAAAAATTATACACAACAAAAATACATAAGAATTTTCCATAACAACGTAAGCATTTAAGCAAGGTAAAACAGCGCGGTGTTGGTAGAGCAGAAGTTGGAGAAAGGAAGAATGACGTAATTATTTGTGAGCGGTATTTATACTGAGTAATTGCAGAAAGTACTCTAAGCTACGATTGGTTAATTTTAGTTTTAGTTACCTTTTTCCAAACAGTGTTATATAACATGGAAAGATCTCGAATTTGGGAGAACAGCAAATTTAGAATAGTTAATTTTGAGGTTGGCAATTATTTCTTACAGCAGCCATCGTATTTTGTTATATCTGTATATCTGTATTTGTTATATCGTATTTTGTACACATATATATATATATATATATTTTTCCCCATTTATAATAATTAATTTAGGTGGCTAGCCACACAAGCGGCTAGTTTTATAAATATTTTAGTCGTTAATATGCTTTTGATATCATCTATTACACGAAATGCAATTTATATTTCTTCTATTTGAACTTGATGAAAACAAAAATCCAAACAAATTATATAAAAATGTGCGGATAAATATTTGGTAGTAACAATGAAACGAAAAGCACGAGAAGTATAGAAGATCACAAGAAATAATTTCCAGTAATTGAAATAGCATCGGTCTAAAAAAATATATAGCAAAAATTTATATTTCTACTTAAGAAAGAACAATTAAAAAAAATAATAATAAAATTTATGTTTTCATTTCTCATTGCACATTGCAATTTGTTTACCAATAAAAATTAAAACAAATATTGCAACTTTAACACTTTATATTACATTCTGACACCTCAAATAAGAGTTTGTAAGAATTATGTGAATTTTATTAACAGTTAAATTTTCAGTTAAACTTCATTTTCTATCACTTCTTAATTTCAACTTACCATTTCCGGCTAGAATGTAGTTTTAGAATCACCCTAAAAATTTAAAATACTAATAATTAATATTAAACATATTAAAATATAAAGGTTTTTTTAAAATTTAGAAAATTCCAAACTGATCTTCGTGAGCAAATTTCACATCAATACTCGTATTTCATTCTAAATAATTACGATAAACATCCTAATTTAAGAAATAATTGCCAGCAATTTAAGAATTAATTGCCAGATAGAACACAAAATTATACGTAAAATCAAGCACAAATGTTAGATTGCGCAGATTTTAAATAAATTCCAGGAATTTTGAGGGCGACTTGCACAGGTCTTTCTTATTCAAAAGAAACGAAACAAACATTCTGTCTTAAGACTGTTTTTCTTAAGTTGACATCGGTACAGATAAAGCTATGTACTATTTAAAACTAGCTTGTGGAGCTCTCAACATGAGACGTTAAACATTAGCTATGCGCTTGCCGAGATTCTATCCATAGATTTTTCAATTACTGGTTGGACGTACTACTAGCTACAACACGAGAGCACGTTCGCGGAAGGAAATAATTCCTAATTTGATCTTCAAAAGAACAGTCCTAAAATTTAAAAAGAAAAATTTTGTAATATTGTTACGTTATTTTCTTTCTTCACGTTCGTACGGGGTTCGTATATTTGGAGTGAATAACGACGACACTTGATGAAGTATCGAAACACACTTTATTTACCAATATTCTCAGGACAGCTCCAAAATCACTTTTACAGTCGCCGAACTGTCATAAACACGCTGGCACATTCAACGACACAGCCTTCACACTGTCCGGCAATAACGGTGGAGACAGCTTCACTGCAAAGCACCAGAGTACAGCTTCTGACTCTGTTTGGTCGTTTTCGGAACTCCACGTACTCTCGAGACTCCACGCGATGCACTCGACGATACACAAGAGTATAGCTCTCGACTCAGCGCAGTCTAAGACAAAACTCGACGATGCACTAATTCGCGATGCACTAAAAGACTCTCTCGATGCACTCGACGACCAACTAGGCGCTAGACTTCGAGACATTCGCTCAATGACTGACTATCAGCTCGCTAGACGAGACACACACACACACTAACTGAAGGCGGACCAGGAGGGTTTATATAGCTTTCGGCTTGTGTTCGAGAACATTCTAGGCTAAACCGGTAAGAATTCGTTCCAGAAGGTTCTCCACCCGTCCATTGTACATCGCCAATTTTGTCGCCAAATGTCGACAAATGGGCGTTTTCTCGCCTAATGTGGCAACCCTGCCTTTCCTTGCCATTTTTATGGCAACCCTAAAATTGCTTTGCGGGAAAGCTATCTCACCGCGCCTGTACATTTCGTAACAATATATTATTCCACTATAATTTAATACAGAATGAGGTATTTGCACATTTTTAATAAAGGAAAGGCTTATTTATTCAAGACGTAGCTGTGGTGATTTTTCAGTGAATCACTTGCGCCTGAGACTTGAGGAAAATGTTCATCGCGCGTGAATTTTAAAATATGATATTCGCTTACTGAAAACAATTATACTTTAACGGAATTCAGTACCTTCGATAGTTCGTGCTCTTTAATTCGATTCCAGGGGGGGATTCAAAATTATCAGAGACCGTGGGCAATTTATTTGTAAAAGCATCATAACGTTTACGGTTACAGGTAAGTTAGAAAGAAGAGATGGAATTACCATGACGATTTCTAAATTTCTTCAAAACGAAACCACTCGTTTAATCTGAAAGTAAATGTTCCCATATAAATATGCGCACTTAATTTCAATAACGAATGTGTTGTTTGTAATGTGTTTTCTGCCTTCTAGTCCTGTGCCTTCGTAGTGTGATTGGAATGCATGTAAAGTTAGGAACTGGAAGGTCCAGAGTTTGAATTCTGGGAAGGGCATTGCACATTTTCACATCTCCTGCTCCGAAGTAAAATTCCTAATGGTCTCTGCAATGGCTACCGAGCTTAAATAAGGTGTTGGATGATAATTCGTCACCGAATTTTTTATCAAGTTTTTCGTCTTTTTTTGTCGACTGCGTTCTGCTTTCTCAGATTATTTAAGTAATGCAGAATGTTAGGTATTTTCTCCCTCCTTATCGTGTACTTTCGTGGAGGAATTGAAAAGCACGTCCGGATAGCAATCGGAAGTTTCACAATTCGAATCTCGGCTAGAACACTGCGTGTATTTTTCCCGTCTCCTGCTCTTAAATAAAATTCTTAATGAACTCTACGTATTTATTGAAATAAGAAGTATTAGACATTCAGTATTTCTAGGCTAAACACTTTCAAGTTCTTCAATGGATTCTTTAACGAGCTGAAATAATAATATATATTTAGAGTCTGGATTTTCAGAAGCGCCTCTTAATGGCTGGCAATGTTAACTCGTAACATGGAACGAATCTTAAAATTGTCTCAAACTCTAATATTAAATAGTTCTTCAATCTGGCCATGTACAACCTTTTTCATGTCGTCTCAATAAACTTCCGACGCAGCCTCTTGGAGCTCCAGGGAGTTGTTGCCGCTAGATAGGGGAGAGCGAGGGATATACACGTGTTTGCCTATGTTAGACACCAGGCGTCCCCGTCCTCCGTAACCTATAGCCTGTGAAATCCTACGCAAAGAATGAAAGAAAAGAAAACCTTTCCTTATTATTAAGAATTTTTTATTGAAACAAAAATTGAAATTTTTGTTAAAGTCCTAACAAATTTAAGAATACAAGTTTTTAAGTATAATACTAGTTTTTTAGAACATGTAAGTAAAACTTATTAAAGGAAGCACATAATTAAAGCACTTGTGTCCTATGGTTCATATACTTAACACAATATGAAAAAAAATATTTAAGTACCAGCCCTCCTCTATATTTTTAACAATTTTCTAGATTATTTTTGGAAAAAAGCAAGTGTAGAGGACGGAAGATTATTTCGCATATTAAAATATAGATAAATCACAACCAAGCACGGAATTCTAAACGTTAAAATCAAAAACTTGTTTATTTTGAAAGTATATAAAACATATTTTTAATATGGTAATTTAGGTCCCACCCCTACGCGATGATATTGATTATCCACCGGTTAGGTCTCCCTCATGCTTTTCCGTATTAGGCTTTTCTTGAAAATCGTCCCAACTCTGCCAATGGGAGTGGATAAGAAAACTTCTCATCTCAGTCTTTCAGGATCAACGCTAAATGGGAAAATTCCAACAAAGTTACGTGATGGTGGGATACCTATGAAATGATGCTTCTTAACCTTCACATTCAGTTAATGTTTAGATGAAATATAAAAGCTTTAGATAAAACATTAAAGTCACATAGTGGTGGTGTCGCTAATATGGTAATCATGACTTTTTTTTATTTAATTGGAATTAAGTTTTGCTGTCATCCTGAGATATGGCCACACCAAGTTCTAAAAAATAATAGTAGATAAAATAAAATGAGAGTTTTAAATCTTAAATGAAATTGAAGATTGATTTTTGAGTTATTAAATCTCATTAAAAATAAAATGCTTCAAAAGCTCATGAAAATCGTAATTAATGATTTCATTTTCATTTTTAATAAAAATTGATTCATTATTGCACTGAATAATTTTTTTAAATGTGCATTTCATCGTGGACGAGAATGTTGAGTCATAACACAGAAGATGTATAAAGAAATGGATGCTTACTATATTTGGTATCCCAGTACAGGATATGTTCGCCTTTTCCGCATCAAGCAAGTACTTTGCACCCAGCTGGAAAAAAAACCTTCCTTTTTGATTTTGCTTGTATCAACGCAATTTATACTAAATTGTTTAATATATATATATATAAACTTTATTTTTGAGTTCCTGTTTCTAAAGCAAACAATGAGAAGGTTTTTTAGTGATATTAAAAATTTTCATAGCCAATAGCAGAAATGATTTAACGTGAAATCAATGAAATAATTATAGTACGCAATGTAGTTACAAATTGTTATTTATTTTTTTTTTTTTTGTAATTACTAGTTTCTTCAATAAGCCCTCTTTCATGATGGGAAAGAAGGGCTGAAATAAAATTTTTTTGATGCTCTCGGAATTAACATTTGCAAAAAGAAAGAAAAATTCTGAAATAGTATTATTTGTTTTGCCACCTTCAAAACGCCTGGAGTAGGGAAAGCTGAAATTGGACATCGCGAATCCTTGAACCATTAAGTTGTAACAGTTGCTGTCTTTTAGTAATGAATGCTTCTACTAGCTCTCAGTGAAACTAATCTTTGTAAAGTTTTGTTTTAAATGCTTAATTGTTTTTCAGATTAAAATTACATCATGCATTGATGGATTAGTAATCATATTTAACGATGAAACGAACAGGTTAGGATTCAGAGGATTATAGTAATGCAAAAATCACAAAGTTTCAAATTTTCGAATCTGTAATCTTTTTTAAAATACGTGGTATCTGAGTATTCGAAAGTCGAATCTTAATTAAAAAGTAATTACTTCATCCAAAATCCATTTAAACACCGGATTTGGGAATATGAAAGATGTAAGAAATCTATAATCTGTAATCAATTGCCAGTAAACATGAATCGCATTCAGGCGTTACACTAATTGGACTAAAGAAACAGATTGCAGTTTTTTCCAGTTATTGATTTGATAGAAGTTCAGGATATGAGTTCCCTTTAACACGCCTTAAAAGCCGTTTCCCAACCTAACTATTAGCTGACGGATAAAGCCGTCGAGCTGATAGTTTATCATTAACGTTGAACGTGATCGATCAATATTATTGACATTCCTTGTCGTTGAGATATATTTTATCGCTTTTTCAAACTATCTATCTACCTTTGGGATTAATACGAAGTGTAGTTTCTGTTCTGTGGTGTTCGATGATGACAGCTGACTAATGTTTCTTTCAAGAACTAATTTTGTAACTTTCTCTTTAATCTTTTTCTTTCTCGTCTTGGGAAATAGTTCAATTGGTTACCCATTTATCAGTTCATGACCGAAATGGCTGTCAAAGGATTACTTCGATGGTTATATAATGGGCTGTCTGGCAAGCTTTCGTGATTTCTTATTAAAAGGGTTTTCGCCAGTTAGAATACTATGTTATTGAGAAATTACAGCAAAATTTCCCAAGGGATGGACATTAATTGAAACAATAAAATTCGCTATAAAATTTAATATTTATTTATTTAAATGTAGGCGAAAATTTTCAGCTAGAAGGAAAAGAACGAGATATAAAAGCAGGCGGAATTTTATGCGCCATTTTCCTTCAAATGCACCACTTACATATGCAAAATTAAATACATAAAAAAATAAGCATTTTTTTCCTAATGGCGGGCACTTGCCTATGCAAGGCATTGGCCACTCCTTAAGGCCATATGTGGTGGTCTCTTTATTATGGAGGCACCTAATAGGTGGACCATTATTGTCTTCTATGAAGGCACAGACAATTTTTACATTCATGCCTTCTCCGGGATTCGAACCCGGGCCCTTTGGTATCGCAGTCAGGCTCTTCTAACCACTAGACCATCTGGGAGGCTCAATAAATAAATAAACTAGCAATACGTAAATTCCAGCCTATTGTTTAACACCTCGGAAAAGAATTTACTGTTGAAACATGTCTTTGTAACATGTTTGTTGAAACATGTTTTGTTTGTTTGTATAATAAAAAACATGAAACATGTGCAAATATTTTGTTTCCTTCTTCAGTAAAAGCAATATGTACTGCTACCGATTCATATCGATTCATAAAATGAATCATCTAAAAAACGTTGCACATGCCTATTAGGAAGAGTCGGATTGATATGCTACGTAAAAAAAATATTACCAAATAACAGCAAAAAATAACACAAACAATAATAATACAAAAAATATAAACAAAATATAAACAGTAACAACAAAAAAATGATTAAAACAGGACAATGGTACATCAAATAAAACTTTCAAAATCTTATAATTCTCCGTTGGACATCAGATGCCACCATTTCTAATGTATTCTATCACACATCAGATCATGGAGCCATAAAGATCCCTAGCGTAATCTTGCTGTATCTCGTTCCGTACAGATTGGATTCGAACTTATTGTTCTTGCATATTTTGTGACAATGTTCTGGATAGAAGGGCCTGTAACATTCCAGAGGTTTTCTGTGTGAACAGACCTGTGGATATGGCCGGCCATGCTGAATGTCCATGATTGCAAAGTAAGCTCTTTAGATGCCAGTAGTACGAAGATCAGCAAAAATGCATTGGCGTGGTGTTCACGAAACAATCACTGGTCGAAAGACTTCATCAGCATATCGTTGAATTGTAAAAATGCTCACGATTAAGACAATGGTGATACCGCATCACACAAAATCGCATTTCAGACCATGACATCCATTCGTCAAGTCGTATGATAGCGCTAATCATGTTACCTTGGTCATCGCACCAAGGCAAAATCTAGTATCATATGGCTAAAGAATTACCTGCTGCCATTTAGCATTTTTCGTGCCACAATTATAGTCTGCAGTGGCTTGCTGTTGTGTCAAGGCAGTCAGGATAACGGCGAGAAAGACGTCATATTAGAGTAAAAAAATCTTATAAAATATATATAAGTCATATAAGAATAAAAACTGAGCTCACCGACCCGGGTAATAGAGTGGGAATATGAATAGTGCGCGGACAGCAACGAAAAAAGGGATTTGCACTACAAGATGTTATAGCAGTACCATATACAAAATTTCAATGTTCTACGGCTTCTCATTTTTGAGTTATGCGACATACAAACATATGCACGAACGTACATACAGACGTCACGAAAGAAATCTCTTCTGAATCCATTTTAAATCCATGTTACAATCCGTTTTGGAAACCTTTATTCTATTCGTAGTAAAAAATGTCTATTTATTGATGTATTTAATTTTGCATATGTTAAGTGGTGCATTTGAAGAAAAATGGCGCATAAAATTCCGCCTGCTTTTATATCTCGTTCTTTTCCTTTTGGCTGAAAATTTTCACCTACATTTAAATAAATAAATATTAAATTTTATAGCGAATTTTATTGTTTCATTAATGTCCATCCCTTGGGAAATTTTGCTGTAATTTCTCAATAACATAGTATTCTAACTGGCGAAAACCCATTTAATAAGAAATCACGAAAGCTTGCCAGACAGCCCATTATATAACCATCGAAGTAATCCTTTGACAGCCATTTCGGTCATGAACTGATAAATGGGTAACCAATTGAACTATTTTCCAAGACGAGAAAGAAAACGATAGTCCTTTATTCTATTCGTCTGTACAGATGTCACTCCAAAAATTACTCAAAGGAATTTGAGAGAGGTCAAATTTGATATTTCCGTTGAAATACGATACCCGAAATTTTTCGAGATTACGATATTTCTTTTGCTTCGTACAAGGAAGTAAAAATGATAAATACTTAAATTTCTAACAGAACTTGTTTTTAATTTGCAACATCCTGCCTTGTTAACTTCAGATGTAGAACTTTTAATATATTTTGCCAAATAAGTAATAATTTCCAAATACAAATGGATGTATTTTCAAAAAAAAAAAAAAAAAAAAAAAAAGAAAGAAAGAAAGAAAAAGAAAAAGAAAAAAGAAAAATTATGACAAGAAACTTCATCTGTTAAAATAGCTCAAAACTTTCGATCGTCTGAATTAGTATGCGAGTTACCGACTAATAAGTTTTGAATTAATTATTTTATTACAAGGCATAATTTAATGATATTTTGCAAGAAACATGGTTTAAAATAGAGAAAAAATAATATATTAGAAAAACATTTTGAGTCTATATGCCCATATTTAATACAAGATTTGCGCAAAAAAATTACAAAAATAAAACTGTCCCAGAACAAATGTGATGCAATGTTAAATATCGTGTCTTTGAAAACATCCTTTCGAATTTTGGATCAGAGATCTGTTAATTACTCTCTGTTGTGCTGATACGCATAATGAGTACAACCACAGGAATCTGAACCGACAGGTGTTTCCAAGTAGTCGAATTTCTAGGCTATCCTTCACTATTTTTGTACTACTGCCAACACATGCGATGTTCTCATTGTTGTATCAGGAACATTTACGTAAATTTGCTTCAGTTTCTGACGATAGAACGAAGGTTAAAAAAGTGGTAATAAAAGGCCTTTTTTTGTTTTCAGTTTGCAGAAAATCTTTTGATACATTCATACTATTTAAGTAGCTCATGAGTTGCAGATTCACTACACTGAACTATTGAACAAAATTTAATTATTTATTTCTTATTAAACTAAATGTTATCAGAAGTTTTTGACCTTAATATATTCTGCCGACATAAAGTATCTTATTTAATATTTGCAATTACTGCGTATTATTTTGATGCGTTTTGTGGTCGTTTCTTGTAAATGCGCTTAAAAGGCTAAGTTTTCTCACTCCTGAATAATAAATTTTATTTTGTATAAATTTAAGTATTGTACTTATTTTTCTTGTATCGTGGTTTACGTTTATGAGTAAGATAAATAAGTAACTCAGACCTTCTTCATTAAACTTTTTAAAAGTTACTTTTAAACGAGAGAATTTAAACAATCTTCTTCACTAAAAGAAGTAAGTCATTTGTAACTGTAATATCAGTCTCAAGCAACTACATCTGCGTAGTATGAAAATGGCTTGGATTTATAAGGTGTACAATTCTATACAAGTAAGCGCACTTATATAGAAAACAAATTGTTATCTAAAATGCAGCAATTAAGCAAATAAATAAATAAATAAAAACAATGTAAAACTTTACAACAATAAACAAAAACAACAATGTAATCAAATTTGTTGAAATATTTACAGAAATTTACAGCAGTACAAAATAGAATAAAAGAATTCTCAGCTTGTGATTCGAATAATTGTAATTTTCAAAGAAAAATATTTATATGAATTTATTTTTACTTCGAAAATCAAATTCAGTAATACGAACAGAATTATGCAGCTCACTGAAGAAAAAATATGAGAAACAAAAATCAAAAACAAAAGTTTATCTTTTTTTATTATTATTTTACCTTTTTACAGTCCGAAATAGTAAGCATTAAAGATTACCGTTGAAGTTTTATAAACAAAATAATAAAAAATGGACACTTTTTTTTAAATGTTCTAATTAATATATAGTGTGCTCACTATACAAATAATTTTGATAATTTTGTGAATAAGCGGATAGAACTAACCCTGTCTCACAGATGAAGTGCAAACGCAAAGTGCTATGAATTAAAATCATTCCTGTTCATTTCATTATAAAAGAAAGAAAGAATTGAAAGTGATAACTTATCTTTTCAAATCCTTTTCTCATATTATCTATTTTCTGAAGGGTTTCTCTTTTCTTATCATTCAAAGTTGATAGTGACTTCTAAAAAGTAAGAAAAGAGAAATTTATTTTACGAAAGCTTGCTTATATATTTATTAACCTTATATCAGTTTGAATATTCAAACTAATATTCTTAAAAAATTTTTATGAACCCACAAGGTGAGATTCATTCATGTAAGATTGATTACATTGTAAAAAAATAAGCAACAGTAGCCGGAACAATTAACCGAACATTTTCTTCAATCTTACTAATATTTTTCTATCTTTTAAGCTAATATTCCTCCGCATAAGCTTATATTTTCAGTTTTCAAAGTTATGTAAGCTTCATAACACAGCAGAACCTCGAATCCAGATAGCCCCACTTCATGAAGAATTCGGTTCACGAACAAGTTATCTGAACAAAACAAGCCTTGAATGAATGGTATCTCAATTACGAACACTCAAGTCAGTTGCATGTGATTTTCAAAATGTATTGAACTAACTGATGTTACATAGATACTCGGGAAATTATGGAACACTTTACATACTTACATACGCTCAGGAACTTATGGACATAGCATTTTAATATTTTCCATTGCTCAACTCCCATTAGTAAATCCTGAGAACATTTGACTTACTACATCACGAATATTCAGCATGGAGGAAATTATGGTCAGATTGGGATGTATGCAGAAATTCTGAGCGCTTTCATTCTTAGAACTTCTGTTGTTACCTGTAATATTATGTCTGTAAGCAAAACTATGTGCTAAGAAGTTAACGTCAACGACGACATGGAAAAGTAGCTAAAATATCATAAAAATGAGCTCAACAAGGAAGAACTGAAACAAATTCAAACGCAGCAAGAAAAGACGACTGAGGAAGAAGTTTCTTTAGAAGGAGGTGAAGAAAGGAAAAGATCCTATTTTTCGAATCCACGAAATTTGAGCAAAATGGGATATATGCCAAGTGATCACGAATGATATCAATCTGATAAAGCAACAGCAAGCTGCAAAATAAGTATTTTCAATGACAATGCCATGGCATTTAGAAACTTTTTAAAATATAGGTAAGAACAAATCAAATTGGACAAATCTTGAGTTAAATGGAGGCTCAAGAAGTCTCAGAGTTAAATTTTGCTTAAAGACCAAAAATAAATAAACAAATTAATTAATGAAGCTGAAAGGGTTTAGACGGTTATCCAAAAGAGGCGATTTTTTTCTAGAGATTATTTAGCTTTCCAGATTAACTTTGAAAGTATCTTAGTTTTACTGAATTGTATCATGCTGGCACGGGGAAAATAAAAATATTTTATTTCCGACTACAGCAACATATTGCTTTCATAAAGCCGAGTTCAAGGAGTTTAGAATAGATGCAGTAAGTCAGATGTCCCAAAAGTGAAGCCAAAGAAATGTCAGCAACGTAAAGTCAAGACTTATCATGGCCGCCATTCAGCGTACGGGTATGACTACGAAATATATTGTTAAATAAAATTACACTGAATTGGATAGGAAATATTAAAGTCTACAGGCTCAGAAAAGCGTCTTTAAGCATAATTTGCATAAAATATTATTGAACCTTCCTCTGATATTCCAGTTTTTTACTATGTATAAATTTGTGTTTTGGTTAACATTTACACATTTTCATGTACCTAGATTTTATTAAATTTGAAAGATTTATTTGCAATTCTTGTGAAGTAGAAAATCTTTTATTTATTAAGTATTTAAAGTATTTAAAATTAGAACCGAAGACTTATAAACGTTCATTGATAATGAATCTATGCACAGTTGGATAATGAACCTATGCACAGTTGAATAATGAACCTATGCACAGTTGGATAATGAACCTATGCACAGATGCTGTTGTAAAATTTAAGTAAACAAATATCTGTGGTAAAGAAACGACTTAATCCATCTTACATTATTTCTTGTAGAGAAAATAACTTCGGCTTACGAACGTTTCGGTTGAAGAACATTTCGGTCTTCAGGAAAGAATTAAATTCATGAACTGAGGTTTCACTGTAAATTCAAAATAGAAAGCTCAAGGAAAATATACAGAGCGTTAGATTAAGGGGCAAAGTACAAGGGCAGCCGGCGGAAAACACTTAAAGTAATAACAGAGCAAATTCGATATGTATAAAACACTGGTCAAAAATGTCATATTTAAATGCTCGTTTTTATGTATTATCTCCAATTCTTTATTTATGCTAAAGCGGGAATTCGGGAAACATAATTCTTAAGTGCACATTGGTATCAACGCTGCAAAAAGGAAATTCTGTTTATGACGTCATTGTAAGTTGATTGGATAGGGAGAGGAGGAATAAGGGAAGGTCGAATCGAGTTGTTACAGCAGCAATGTACTACGAGAGCTTAGTGAAACACCCTACTGCTGCAACGACTACATAAAGTACGATTACAAATGAAGGATGGGCCTTGAGTGCAAAACTAAGTGGCTTCTGCTGCTCTTGTGACGTTGCATCTTTGAAAGCTGTTGTTTACATTTTGTTTTGCATATTTAGCAGCCCCTTAAGAAAACTAATCAAGATATGAACATTTCATTACAACTGATTGCAAAGTTATCCGCAGTACTCAATATGTATTCGCAAATTCTATCAACCAGAGAGTTAATAAGTTCTTGTTATAAGAAACATAAAATGTTTCAATTGTTTTATAGAGGAAATTGGACGCAAAAAATATTTTCAATAATTTTGCTTTAAGCAAGACAAATGTCACGTGACTCAACCAGAGCCGGATTTAGACTTGATAATGGCCTAAGCTATTTGAGATATGGAGCCCTTTATAAGTCTGTTATACTATATTTATACAATATTTTAATTTGGGGGGCTAAGCTATAGCTTTTGTAGCCTTATTCGTAAATCCTGCAGTAAGTAGTATTGGAAGCCCAATGTTCTGAAAACATTTCTCAAAGTTGCAATGTCAGTGTTTACTTTCAGATTGTATTGCCCGGAGAAAAAAGAAAAGTTCATTCTTCTTATTTCAAGTTAAAATTTATTACTTAGGCTAAGGAATGTCATAAATGGTACTGAAGATGATGTTATCTACGAGATGGGATGGGAGATAACCATGTAAATGGGCGAAAGGGAGAGCAATGACATTCACCCAGACTTTGTCTTTATTAAAACGTTTTTCAAAAATTTAGAGAATTGTTAGAAGATTCCGAAACGCATACCAATATTGAGAAATTTGGTTAATGCAAATTAGATTTAAACACAATAAAAATATTTTTCAATCATTTAGTTCTTTAATATCAGTTTTGTAATTGAATTATTTATAAAATCGTTTTGAAATCGTTTATGAGCCGATACCTACGTTTCAGTTATAAAAAATTTGCTAAAAATTATCGGCGTATACACGGATGATAAATATTAACGAACTATTGACAGCAATTGTATCTTCGATGCGCAAGACCTTTGCCTTTGGTGGCAACCGCGATGTATCTTTCGACAGCTTTTGATTATGTTTTACAATTCAGAAGCTATTGAATAAACATGTTTTTTTTTTTTTTATTATTATATGAAGTTGAGTCTTTTCTCGGAGTTTTATCATTTCTTTATTAGAGTTTATTTTGATTTCATCTGTTTCGATAAAAGTCCCTTTTGAAATAACGGAAGTATGTCATTTTTACATTTTTTGTATTAAGGTTCTGAAGCACAATAAAATGATATTCTAGTTACTCTCAAATCAAAAAAGTAGTTTTGGATGCTACCATTTCTGAAAAACAAAACTTCCAATTTGTTCCTAAGCCACAGATTAGTGCGCGCGCTTATTGCAAGACTAAATAGATGTATTCTTTCAACATTAAGGAAAGAAAGAAAAATGGAAGACGCAAAACTGCACTTAATCGCTCTTAGCAGGCTTATCACGACCCAACTCAACGCTGCAAAAAGGAAATTCTGTTTATGACGTCATTGTAAGTTGATTGGATAGGGAGAGGAGGAATAAGGGAAGGTCGAATCGAGTTGTTACAGCAGCAATGTACTACGAGAGCTTAGTGAAACACCTACTGCTGCAACGACTACATAAAGTACGATTACAAATTAAGGGGAAGTTGTTGGCGAAATGCATTTTTGTCATCTCGCGGAAGGGTTTTTGGCGCCTTGTACATGACGTCGGAATGCAGGAATCGCATGAATAATGGTCCTCGTCCGTCTGAAGTATAAACGGCACAATAGACTGTAAAGAAATGAATAGAGAATTACCATGTCCCTCATTGTTTCCATACAGCGTGTCTGAGAATGTACGAATCCCCCTATTGAATGTTATCAAGTAATCTCTCGTGACTATAACTGACCATAAAGCGGATCCAGGAAAAGTGAAATCTGCAGTTTAATTGATCTATGGGATGAAAAAGTTGTTAGTTAAAAGTTCGCTGCTGAGTTGCGAGTGAGAAAAATTCATTGCCAAATCTAGACTGCTTAATAATGATATTGAACAAGAACAAATTATGTCTTTTAAAGTCTATTTTAAGTTGTTGAATTTCTTAACTAAAAAATTTTGTGTCCCATTTTTAGAATTTAATTGATGAATCACAGTGACCCGACGTATAAAATAAATACCCTTTAATTTTTAGAGAAGTTTTTGAAAAAGAGAATTAAAAAAAGGTTTGCAGTTAGAATGGTCTCACGTATATGAGTAGAAATGTTCGTGATTTTATGTTAGAAATACAGCAATTAAATATTTTAGTTCGCGAAAAAATGCCATTATTTGACGTAAATTCGTTTTCTTTTAATATGAATGTTAAGGAATAAGTAAAACATTCCTTATAATATTCAGCCGAGATTGCGTAATTTTAACACACATATTAACGCATATATTTTGTAAAATGCTTTTAAGAGAAAAATGTAACTTGATATTGAGGTTAATATGGAACATGAAATATAATAGGATATTTAGGTAAAAAAAAGTATAATTTGCTCAAAAGGCGAAATTTCTCCGCGCTCTGTTGTCACTTTACGAAAACAAATTTTTAAGCATGCGAAAACTTGAAGTTTACGTATCAAACAGTAGATACTAGGGGAGGTACTAGGGGAAA